AAGCATAATATGTATGCACTGATGAAAAGGAAAGAAGGCATAGAAATGTATGCAAAACAAAGTTTTAATTAAGCATAAAGGTATGCAATATTATGTTACTTGTTACTTTATGTACATATGTTTGGGGTCCCTATAATAAACATTAAGTTGTTAAAGCATAATATGTATGTGTATAAAAGAGGGGGAAGCATAAAAGGTATGCAATGTGGAGTTCAAATATGCATAAGAGTATGCAATATGTTACGTATTCTAAATAAATAATATCTAAACGATTGATAAAGCATAAAATATTGTTAATAAAGCATAAAATGTTGTATGCAATGTAATATCTAAACGATTGATAAAAGCATAAAATGTCGTTAATAAAGCATAAAATGTTGTATGCAATGTAAAAAAAATGCAATGTAAATCGTAATATAAAACAATATAAAGCGTAATAGGTATGCATAAAACAATGTAAAGCGTAATATGTATGCGTAAAATAAAAGATTATAAAAGCATAAAATGTTGTATGCAATGTAAATCGTAATATAAAACAATATAAAGCGTAATATGTATGCATAAAACAATCTAAAGCGTAATATGTATGCATAAAATAAAAGATTATAAAAGCATAAAATGTTGTATGCAATGTAAATCGTAATATGTATGCATAAAACTATGTAAAGCGTAATATGCATGCATAAAACCAATGAAATCGTTATAATTTGGTAATAAACAAATTCCCAAATGCCAATATTGTTGTTTGTCAAATTGCAGAGGCAACTTGACAACATGGATTTACAAAGGGAAATAAAACCAAATGCACGACGACTGGCAAAAAAATGGCAGCGCAGTCTGGATATATATTTTCTGGCAAACTCCATAACTGATGTTAAAAAAAAAAGAGCAAAACTCTTACACTATGGTGGAAGTGAGCTCCAAGACTTGTTCTACATACTGCCTGGCGCGAATGTCGATAAAACCGTCGAAAAAATAATGTAGGGACATTGCAGTTGAAAAATACAACCCAAAAATTCATTTACCCACTAGTAGATATAAAAAAACATTTTTTGGTAAACTCAGTCTCAAATAGTTTCTGAAAAATAAAATTATTTTTTTAAAAAAGGTCCGATTAAATATATATCTCCGAAACGAAGCACTGCTTACGAACGACATGTATTCTTTGGATTCTGCCAAAACACTGGGGAACTAGTAGAGCAATTCGCATATCGTTTAAGGAAACAGGTAAGCAAATGTAATTTTACACATGATGTAGATGAGTATATTCGATTTATATTATAATATCAAAAACGAACAATGAAAAACTACAAGTTTTCATTTTGAAGCATGACAAACTCAAAGCATCCCACTTCATGCAGTATTAAGCCATGCGAAAGTATAGAAATGGCTACTTTCGAACATGCGTCGGTTAAGTAGAGCTGGTTAAGTAGAGCAGTAGCATCGTAGAGACTAAAATATTCAACAAAGTAACTGAGAAATTAACTCAACTGTAACTGGTAAAATATTTAAGTTAAGTTAAATTGTTTTTGCAGTCAGGTTTCCCAGACACTTTAAAAATCCGGACATGTCTGGGTAAATCCGGACGTATAGAAACCCTAATAAAAGATATATGCAGATGCTTTTGAAAAAAACTTGGGTAGTCCGTGACTAAAACAGAAATCTAAAAAAAGTTATTTTTTTCAAAAATGCCACTGTTTTAGAATCCAAATGGAACCCAGTTTGTCAATGGCTTTTTTTACTCGTAATAAAATTTGTCTAACCAACAAAACCATTTAACTTTGCAGGTGGTACAACAAATACACTGACGCGACATCTATAGGGCTTGACCTCGACAAAATTATCATCGAGGGTCATTCCCCCGCCGTCTTTGATGCCGTTTTTTTGATCCTATATATTTATTATTAGATATAATGGCAATATAGCCAGTTATAATATATAGTTTTGATCACTAAAAATTAAGATTTTTCAACAATGTTACAAGGGGTTCAATTTTACTCTGTAAGAGGATGAAATCACTGGTCTAGCTAATAAAGTAATATCATTTAAAAGAATTTTTGTGATAATATTAATGTGTCTAAAGCCAATGGTAACAAAATTTTATAATATGTACAAATTGATATATCGGGTGCGTCTCAAAAGTGGTTCACCCTTATAACTTTTTTATTTTTTTCAGATAAAAAAAAACGATATTTGGTATGTTAGTATATGACATAAATTCCAAACTAGCATTTATAGTGGCAGGTGGCAGATACGTAACTGCTACTATCAAAGCCACCACAAAGTGGGCAGTGACCTACGGCGGCTACGTCGTATATTCGTAGCTGCTAAGTAACTGCGACCAAAATTGGGAAAGATTTTGAGTAGCCGGGTAGTGTCTTGGGTAGTTTTGCCACTAAAAGAGTTACTATGATGTGTTACTATAAAGTAGTCTACTGGTGAATGCTACTTATCTGCTACGAAGCTGCCTAGTCGCGGGTTCGTAGCAGCCAAGTGTTTTCCACCGACATGACATGTGGAACTTTCGTTAAACTGTTAAACTTTATTCGCAGCGACCTCTTCAGGCGATTTCACATTTCATAAAAATAAATGTCATGATGGAAAATTATTATGGAAGCCATTATTATTTTTTTCGATATTTATCCTGCGATTTTAAGGTCTTTTGTAGGTAAATTCCAGAACGCAATCGACTTTTCTGAATAAATTAGTGGGTTTATATGACAAAATTTTCGAGCGCCTCTCAAAATATTTCAAATTTTTATATTATTTGCAATAGAAACTCATGAAAAAAAATAATAATAATTTGCTTGAAACTGGGGTAAACTTTAAAATATTAGTCCACCGTCAGTAATAACAAAATAACTAAGGAAAAAAGTTTTTAATCTAGGTATATTTAGCTTGAAAACGCATAATGTTTGAGCCATTTGGATGTTCATCTAAAAAGTCATGAAAGAATATGGACGTTTAATCCGAAAAATACTTTATAGTTCCATGTGCTCCTACAAAGTACCGGGAACAATAACATATTAGGCCAACTCTACCCGTTTGGACCTTCAAAATCTTCGGATTGATAAAGTGACAATTGTCACATTAAGAAATGCCTAGACGATGACAAGTTGTGGGAATCTGAAAAATTAATACAAACTTATAAACCGTTCAAAACAGAATATTGTTTTCATGAAAATATACTTCTACGGGGACACACCAAAATTGTAATGCCAACGGCCTTACATGGCAAAGAATTGTCACTAAGTCATGAAGGACACCCAGGAAGAGATAATATGAAACGCTTACTACGAGCCTATGCATGGTGGCCGAAAATATATTGATATATTCCGAATATGTAAAACAGTGCCATGGGTGTGCTTTAGTCACCGTAACGAACATACCCGAACCCCCTTAAGATGAGAAGTTTCCCTACTACCCCCTGGAATGACATAGCCATAGACTTCTGTGGGCCAATGCATAACAATATCTACCTGTTAGTAATCATTAACTATTATAGTCGATTCCAAGAAGTGATCGCCATAAAAATCACCTCGAGGGACACAACAGAACAACTTCGGAAGTTCTTTTCTCTCCTAGGCCTACTTAAGACTATAACAGCTGATAATGGCCGACAGTTTATCAGCAATGAATTTAAATGTTTTTGTAAGGAACATGGAATTACATTATATTCAACCCCATAATGGCCGCAAGCAAATGGACTGGTCGAAAGACAAAACAATTCAATACTAAAAAGGCTCCGCATAAGTGCAAGTAAGTACCTCAGGAAGTGATTAGCAAAAGGACCTTCAAAACTACTTTCGGCTTGATAGAAATACCTCACACCCTGTAACTGGCGTCTCTCCAGCGCAACTTCTTTTTGGCCGCGCTATTCGAACAAAAATACCATCCATTGGTGAACAAATAATTCAACACCCTGACCACTGTGAAGTGTAGGATAACGACACAAACTTGAAATCTAAAACAAAAGAATTTGCTGACAAAAGGCGACGAGCAAAGACATCGGATATAAACGAAGGAGACACGGTTCTAGTAAGAGCAGAGAGAAAGGAAAACAAATTTAGTACACCGTATCAAAATGAACTATACGAGGTGATCAATAAACACCAAGGCGATGTTACCTTAAAATCAAATACAACAAGCAATACAATACGGTGAAATATCGCATATTTAAAACTCTACGCTCCCAAGTTATCGACGTCCCCCACCAGTGAAGAAGATGCCCAAGACGAAAGAATTTCTCCACATCCGCCAACATCCTCCAATAGTGAAGAAGAAGCCCAAAATGAAAGCACTTCCCCACAAGGTCTACCTCTTCCAAAGCTAAGGATTAAACTTGGTCCAGACCCTTCGTGCACGCTGATGGATTAATAAATCTCGAAAGCAAAGGAGAGGATGTAGCAGTATCATAGACCGATACTGGGAACAGTGGCAACGCCGCGACTACCGGCGAGGTCGGAGATCAGCTGACGTGCCGGCGATCGATAGTTTGGTAGAAACGGGGACTGTAAATAAGAAACGTGTTTGAGTGTTTTAATATTTTTGTTGATGTATTAAGTTGATTAATTGTTAATTATATTTGTTTAAACTCGACTTGTGAGTATTCATTTCTACAGTAATGATGAAAAATTAATATACAACATGTTAATGCATCAACTTTATATATTTTTTACTAAAAAAATCAATTTGAAGGAATCCAGAATACATATAATAAAGTTAATATACATCGTATAAATAATAATAATTTTCGCAAAACATATATAGTTTAAGAACTTAATCATATTTTCTTTATACTGTTTAATGGTCTAAAAAATAAATAACATTTTGATATCACAATGTGAATAAAAAATGTGTAAATTGAAGTGTAAAATTCTAAACCTTTTATTTGTTTCAATTTATCAATCTTTACAAAACAAAATCACAAATAAAATTAAAACATTGTATAAAAATAAGATTTAACCTTGCTAAAATCGTCCAAATCGAAAGATACATACTTGTCTAGTCCAATTAAATCGTCGCTACTAATATTATCAGATGTTTGACCATGAAGAGTTCCATTTTCGAGGATTTCGTTTTTTCCATGCGGTTCTTCTTGCGCTTCGGCCTTGCAATTCTCTTCTATCGCGTTCACGGTAAACTTCATCGTTTTTCTCACCTCCATAACGGGGCTGCTGGGCACCGAATTAACCTCCTTTTTGGGGGCGGTTTGAATCGGAACCCTCGGCGCGATCGCCGTGGTACCATGTCCGCAAGGTTTCACACAAGAACCGCGTCGTTCGGTCAGTCTACTTTCCGGTACTTTCAATCCGTGCGCGTACGGATCGCCCATTTTTGACTCGTTTTGATCGTTGTTTTTTTCGGAAAATGTCGCCACTTCACTACCGATAGTTTTAGCTGCATTCACAACATTTTTTGGCAAAGGAATGGCGTCGATTTCGGGCGCAAGTTCAGGTATAGAAGGTTGATTATTTTTACACATTTTCCTTTTGTCATCCACCGTAGAGCATTCTCCGGTATCCGTCAAATTTTTATCTCTGCGAGTCAGTTCCTTACTATCTTTGCCTCTCTTGCCATTACCGTTATCTTCTTTTTTCGATTTTCTAAAAAAACTAAACATCGTTTAACCGCCCGATTTACAAACCGCACATATCTTACAAGATATATTACCGATTAGTGTTATTTCACGCACTTGGACCGCTTGTTGAAATAAAACTAAACCATTCACACCTAAAAGTTACAATACACGAGTTTAATTTTAGATTAACATGGATTTGTGTCCGTGTTATCACGTCGATTTTCAAACGCACTATTAAATGAAATATACCTTTTTAAAAGAAAAACTCTCAATGAATACAGCTGTGCCGTATAAAAAGTCGGCTTTCGGTTGCCAAAGCGTCACAAAGAAAAGAGTTTCACGGCAGTTAGGTGGGAGACACTTGATGCTGGAAATAACGTCACAAAAAGAAAATTCCGGCAAAATATAGCTTCTTGGCCTTGGTGCAACTGAGGTTTTAGGACTTTTATTTTAAAAGTGGCCAAATCACGATGGTCTTTAAATAAATTTCTAAAATACACAGTCGATTAATCCATTAGCAATAGAGCGTACGTAAGTTGTTTATGCAATAGATGCATCTAGTGTCTTCGAGCATGCAAAATTGTTTGACTTTCTGGACTAAAATATATAAAATATTTATAATAGTAAGCAGTTAATTTGTAGAAAAATAGTACCTTTATGGTACTATTTTCTTTTACTATATAATAATAGTACAAATAATTTAAAGAATATATAATATATCCATATGTATATTGACAATTTTATTTCAGGCACAAATTATACGATTGTACAAATTTAATACAGTAATTAATTAACTAAATTATAAAATGTATACAAACAAATATATTTAATTCATTTACCTAATTGTACCTAATGTTCTGGTGTTGGAGTTGCATATTATTTATTAGTTTTTTTATCGTATTATTAAGTAACGTTTTGAATGGGAAAGCAGCCGAGTAAAGAACACTCAAGAGATAGCAGTCTACACAGATGCTTCCGTAACTTCTGGAGGCCAGAAGTATAGGCATATTCTCAGAGGAAGTAGACATCCGACGATTTTTAAGGCTATATGATGGCTGTAATATTCTACAAGCAGAGGTTTACATCATAAAGGAAGCGGCCAGGCGTATGCGAGAGAAAATCGCTGATAAACCAATAGGGTATCGTGATATACTCTTACAACTGGGCGCTTAAAGAAGCATCACCGTGAGATCGAAAACTGTGATGGACTACCAACAAGCACTGTCCTGGCTGCGTCAAGGCGGGGCTACTCTGTGCTGGGTGTCAGGCCATAGCAATGTGGTAGGCAATCAGGAAGCAGAGAGACACGCCAAAGAGGGGGCCAGGCAGATGATCCACTACTTGTGACGATCAACACACTGAAGGAAGCTATAGGCACTACCATCAAGGCCAAGCATCAAGAGGTGGCAACACAGTGAGGACTGCACGACAGCTCGAAGACTGTGGCCAGTGGTAGATATCAAAGAGACAAAACAACTACTAGGACACAAAAGGACCTATTACGCATAATTGTGGGTGTCATCACTAGAAACTGCCCCACGGGGATAAACCTCGTGAGATGGAAGATTTCAAACGCCAACTACTGCACAGAATGCGGAGAGGAAGAAGAAACCATAGAGCACATGCTATGCCACTGTCCGGCACTGAAATACCGACGCTTTAAAACTTTAGCGCAAGGTTTTTTTGGAGGGACTAGAGGAAGCAGTAGAAGCCAACATCAGCGACACCGGGAATTTGTCAAAGAGCTGGAAGTGATTTAACGCAAAGAAAGAATGAGATAAAGGTTTGGTACAACAGTCTGTATTGTTATACCCTTGTGGACCCATTGCGATACCCCTGTGGGTATAGCAATTAAGGATGTGTCGTTGTTTAAGTAACGTTATTTTGGAGCGGTATTTTTTTGGAGCGTTTCTATCCGCTCCAAAATGACAAAGTTACTCGTTGTTTTCGGAGCGAAAATACCGACACCAACTACATGGCGGAGAGCATCAAGTGTGCTCCGTTCAACCGATATTCCGAGTGGAATAACTTGGAATGTTGGTATTCGAATCGTGCCTGTGACCAAGCGTTTATCAGTTGACAGTTGTAGCACAGTTGTAGTTAGGTGATTCTGGTGATTCCCCTAATTAGAAATTAAAATACCTACCTACATATTATCGTTTTTAAAGTTACATGGTGGTGCAAGTGCAATCGGTTTTTATTAAGATTTGTTTTTGAAGATAAGGTATGCATTTGATAAATATAAATATAAGTAACATATTTAATGATGTAAATTTGTATTTTTAGATCTAAATAAATATCATATCCCTGATAGGAGATGGTAATTCCCCTAAAAAGTTACTACGGTGTACTACGATCGATTTTTATTTGGTTTATGTTGTTTTTGGAAGGTAAAGTTAGAATTTTGTAAACTTACACGTCATGAATATTTTTGCTTTTTTAGATCTAAATAAGTACTATAATATCAATATGGCACCAAAAAAATCAATAAAATCTTCTTCGATATGGATTTTTTTTACCGAAAAACCTAATGCTGATAAAATAGCAATATGTAATATCTGCAAAGAGGAATTAACATTTAAATCCACATCAAATAATTTAAAAAAACATACAGAGAGGAAGCATCCTCTTGTTAACCTCAATCTTAATACCAGTAGACAACAGACTCCAGACAACCAAACTACACAGAATAATACTGAAATTCCTATAATGAAAGAAGATAACGATATTGGTGGTGCTGGCGGTGGTCCAATACAACCATCTACATCTAGAGCGACCAATTTAAGCTCAATTCAGACAAATCTTAGTAGCTTTTTAAAAAGGAAAATTGGTGGACCTTTACAAAAACAAATCGATGAGAAGCTAATGTTAATGTTTACACACGATTTCCAACCTTTTTCATTAGTGGAAGATTATGGGTTTAAAACCTTTGTCAACGCTTTAAATATGTCGTACCAGTTGCCTTCTCGAAAAACAATTACTCAAACTTTATTACCAGCGCAATATGAAGAAACATATAACACCACAAAAGACATAATGGCTAAAGTTAAATCAGTTACTTTAACAACAGATTGTTGGACATCACGAAATACGGAAAATTTTCTAGCAGTTACTGTACATTTTATAGACTCTAACTTTGAGATTCAAAGCTTATTACTTGAATGTACATCCTTTGATGAGAGCCATACGAGTAAAAACTTAGCAGATGCGTTAAAAAATATCATTACAGAATGGAATTTAGAAGAAAAAGTGTTAATGGTTATTTCTGATAACGCAGCAAATATAAAAAAAGCAATTAGAGATGAGCTACACCTAAAACATTTTGGATGCTACGCACACACAATTAATTTGATTGCTTGTGATGCTCTTAAACATATTGCAGATGTTTTAAATAAAATCAAGACAATCGTGGTTTTTTTTAGGCGAAGCACTTCTGCTAACGCTAAATTGATAGAACAGCAAAAGCAGCTTAACCAGCAACCTAAAAAGCTCATCCAAGATGTACAGACTCGCTGGAACTCATCTTATTATATGGTAGAGAGGTTTATTGAGCTTGAAGTGCCACTTCGAACAACAATGGCTCTCTTGGATAAAGACCTACCAATAATTTCGGTAGAAGAGTGGGACTTTTTGAAAGAAATTACCAAAATTTTAAAGCCCCTAGAAACTATAACAAAAGTAATGAGTGGCCAAAAATATGTCACGGCTTCTTCTGTTATAGTTTTAACTGATGGACTCTATGCAGTATATTCAGGTCTAAAAAGCAAAGACTTTTATGCGCTATCAAAGGTTGTAATAGATTCTATTTTGAATGGAATTAAAACAAGACTAGGGGATTTAGAAAACAGCAGTTCTCTTCTCATTACAACTTTTTTGGATCCCAGATTTAAGACTGTTGGGTTTTCCACTGATGCTGTGGCTGAACGGGCTAAGAAATTAGTATCGTCCTTAATTACAGGAAATATTAAATATGCCAATTTAGACATTTCCCAACCTTCAGCCCATAACACAGCTCAAGAAAAACATTCTGAAGTAAATAATACTGAAAGTTCTATCTGGGAGAGTTTTGATAAGAAAAAAACTTCCGTTCAGCCATGTGGGACTCCTTTCTCTAAGGCCATTGTTGAAATACAAAGGTACTTGGAAGAACCACTGATCTCAAGGGAAGATGATCCTGTGCTTTGGTGGAAAAACAACTCTTACAATTTTCCTAATCTTAGCACATTAGTTCAAGAAAAATTTATTACCATCGCTACTTCAGTGCCTTGTGAGAGGCAGTTCTCAAAATCTGGACAGATTTTATCAGATCGGAGAAGCAGGCTCAGTTCTACTAAGGTTAAACAACTATTGTTTATAAATTCAAACCGAAAAACAAAATAATGATATAACGATATGGATTTTAATATTTTTATTATACAATTTGTTAATATTTTTTTAAGTAGATATTTTTATTTTTAAATGTTTTCCTAACATTGAGTTTATTTAAAATTAGGATATTATTTATGTTGTATGGTTGTTCAGAGGTAGTTTTTTTTAAATGAATACCTACATTTTTTTGCTATTTTACAGTTTATAAACCTTGTTTGAATTTTATTTAATATAATATTTGATATTATTTGTATATTTAGTTCCTATTTTTACGCAAAACGCAAATATGTAAATAATTATATTATTTTGTTAATTTTAATTCCCATTTCTATATTTTTAATAATAATCCAAGACGGGAATGACGTGATGCTCAGCTTGCACACGGTACAGTACATCACACAGTACAGTTAAATAAATGGCAATTGCTAACCTTTAACGGCAAGTGATTAACCTTTTTTTTAATAAAATAAATTTTTTAATCTAACCTTTAAAGAAAAACGCTCCAACGGAACGGTATTTTGTAACGGTATTTTTCTGGAGCGGTAGCCGTTGTAACGCTCCGAGAGTGGAACTGAAATTCCCATCTCTTCGTTATTAGCAATGGCTCCTCCAAGTGAGGGATCAAACATGATCCCAAATCCCAGCAACCTAACCTAACCATCTCACGTTTCGAATAGGTGAATCCCCAATTGTTATAAATCTTAACAAAATGTTATATAAAGACCATTTTTTCAAGTTTCCAAAATCTTAATTTGAATTATTTAAAGATGTATTTATTGCAAAATAATTATCACAGTATTTTAAAGGAATGAAAATGATTGATGAAGGATGAAACTATAAGGTCTAAGAAAATATAAAATATAACATTCTCGTGTCACAGTTTTAGCATAGTACAAGGGTTTTAGTTACCATACTC